GGGGGGGTTCTAGTTTGCATTATCTCTTTTGAACATTATTTACAATATTGTCGATATATGATTTACAAGTCAAAAACTTCTTTTTCATGCAGTACGTTGGGAGGGTATGGTCCGAATAACAATTTGCTAATACTTTTGCAGCATTGGTCTTTCACCTTATAACTTAGTTTTTATGTAGAAGTGAGAAGTACAACCTTTATTCTAACAAATGCTTGATTGTTGTAATATTGAGCACTGTGGACGAAATATCATTGCCCAGTCTTCAGCAGCTTTTGACCAAGGACTAAAGTTCACTTTATGTACTGAAACATGATATTACTTGTTCCTTTACCTCTCCATTGTGTCTGAACCCTGTCCTATCTTTGGTGCTGTAATGATCTAATATTATTATGACAACAGCTATGGACAGGATTGTAACGTCCATTTGTTAGATTTACATTTTGGTCTGTATCTCCTTGATTTATTTTGCGCGTAGTTGCTCCTTGGGACTTAAGTTTTCTTTATATTTTTTCTTATGTTTTTATTATAACAGTGAGATTGATTTTGAATGATTTTCCATTTTGCACTTAGTAAAAGAAGATGGGGTGCGGGGCACATTTCTTCATGTAAGCAATAGCACATGTTTTCAAAGGGGTTTGTTTCGGTGCGTAAATATGTTTGTTTTGTATTTATTTTGTTCTTGTGTTCTGAGGTTGGTGTGCATGTCTAGAGACAGAGTTGAATATAGTAACGGGCTTGTTTAGTTGAGTAGCAACATTTGACTTGCATATGATATTGTCAGTCTTATTGAAGTAAGTGGCTTAATCACTGTGATCAAAGTTGTTTTCCAACATTAAATCGATTTACTCAACATTTAAACTAAGTTTCACTTATAAGTTAGGCTGATTCAGAAAGACTTGGGAATCATGTTTGTTTTTAAAAAGAATATTTTTTCTGAGTTGCCTTTCGTCTTCAAAGGTGCCTTATGCAATAAGCATTAGATAAGTTTTAAATTGGTCTGTAGCAAATGCAATTACTGTCATGGAGATGTAGGATTTCGCCAGAGATTTGACATCGCCTCTGTGTCATGACATGCTCAGGTGAGCATCAGTTCACAGTGCTGGCTTTTCTGTGGCCAGTAGAAGATAGATTAAGCGAGCATCTCCCCGGCAATGAAATTTTAAACTTAACCACTTTGACATTTGTGTAGATGATGCAAACGCACACGTACTGACCTACTTAGCTAAAAAGCGCAAAGGAACAAGGTTTTTTTTTTCTCACTTTGACTTAATACCGAATGCAAGAGCATGACTTATTTTTTTCATCCTTAATTTTTTTTTTTTAAAGTGTCTCTTTGGCCATTTTGTCACATAATTGAAAGATTTTTTTCCCTTTCATGTATTAATAAACAGAATAATGGCATAATGACGAGAGTGCCTATAATATCCTTTATCATCAGTTAACAGAATGCTCTTAAGATAATTTTTAATCCACCAAGCATTTATAACGAATGACAAGACTTGAGTTATCAAACCTTTTCCGTTTTTTTTAAATATTGTTGTCTGGCATCACGTTCTGATTTATAAGCTTATAGAAAATTTTGCTTTGAAGATAAATTGGATATGACCAGTACATGTACTAGCACTTGCTCTCATGTAGCCAGTATTGTCAGTGTGCTGCTGTTCATTTTGAGTAAGAGAACTGTGACTACATGTAAAACCTCTCCACACTCATCCGTCCTTTATTTATTATGCTTTCTCTTCACTGTTCAGTTTACCAAGGTAGAAACTCCCCCCCCCCATTGCCTTCAACAGATATGTGACAGTGATATAGGCCTATTTCCATACAGCCCGCTTTTCCTTTGCTATTTTACATCTTCGCTTTTCAGACTCTCCTGGGATAATAAACCTTTGCCTACAGAACTCTTGACTGAATAACACATAAAAACTTTCAATCTCAGGTTTCTGTCTTTTTCTTTTTTTTTTTTATTCTCCTCAGTATTCTAGGTATGCAATTATAAATGACTTTTAAAATGTAATATTAACCATAAAGCAATGACATGAAGTGACATCTGTTCTCATGAAGTTCGCTTTCGTGTCTTGTTTCTCTCCAGGAGTCTGAATCTGCCACAGAGGAGAGTCCTACACACGACAAGGAGTCCCCGCCCCGACAACCCGGTGCTCCCCAACTGTCCAGCACACAAGGTACGTCTCTCTACTCTACTTACTTACGGGTCTCGAAGTAAGAGTAGCTAATTACGGGTCTATGTCTTCTTGCACCTGCCATCTTCATGCCATGCCATAGATCGCCTCATTAACACATCACGCTCATTGTCTGTTGTTGTTATTGTTGCGTACATTACTTGCATGGTAGATAGCTGTATACTGTGGGCCGAAAGTCGAGATTCACACTTTCATTATTTATATAGGAAGGCACTATCTCATACAAGGGCTTATTGAGTAGGTCAAAAATTGAGTCTCGGGCTGACATTTGTACTGAAAACAGTCTGAAGTGAGGGCATCGCACATGCCAACAGTCAGAGGTTCACGCTGAGCACAGCTCCAGAATGTATTCAAAAGCCTGGGTGGGGAATTCCTAAAAATACCATCTCAAGTAGAACGACATAAGAGCGGGAGGGTACCTAACTCGGTGATTGACAACTTGTGAACGACTTTACATCAATCATAACAGATATGGACGCTTAGAGACTAGAGGTCCCATCTTGATGTTTTGGCCATCTGTAGAATAGCCAAGTACTTTCTGACTGAGGAGTAGGGAGTAACTAAAATCTAATTCTCTGGCCAAGGGTGCGTTTGTTTGGGTTACATTTTCCCCGACTTCTTCGGTTCTAACATTGTGGGTCATGGACTGAAATTTAGAGAGATACTTGGAATCATTACCTTCATTCTTGTTCATGATCATGCACATTTCTCTTTCAATTTTTGTAGTTTGTCACTTTCCTATATAGACTCCCTAATAATATCTCTCATGGAAATTGTAGTTTGAAGTATAGTGTAGCACATACTGTATATGTGAAGATGTATAGTTTGGTTCTCATATTAAGATGTCGACATCTGGAGTTTTTCAAGAGTTTATGTGTCTTTAACTTTTTTCTTGGGTCGGATGGAGGGAGGACAGAAACCATTCTTGACACATTTCTTTACTAATGCCTGTGCCCCTTTACGTACAAGACATGTCATCTTGGCGCTGCTCATTTTGGCTGTAATTGTTGTTTTATCTGTTGGATTGATTAAGTGCTTAATTAATTGATTGATTATACCTGTGTCTTATATGCTGTTGGGTATGGTGTATATGACGTGGAGAATCTGCTCCTCTACAGTTGTTGCGGCTGACTTACTGGCCAGTGTTCAGTTCTATGTCTGTCGCAAATAGCAAATTTGTTACATTTGTTTTTAAAAATTGTTTTCTTTTTATTGTTTTTTCTTTGTCGAATTGATTTTTTCAGCTGGATAGTCTGGTGTGTGTGTGTGTGTGTGTGTG